AGCCTTAGTTTTTCAGATAATTCCCATGCCCGCCATTCATACTAAGTCATGTTAGACTTTGGTGTCTCTTTCCATTAGATTTCTTTAGTAAAATTGTGACATTTTAATTGTGGTTGGCACAATTTGTTTGAAGGAGTTCCTAGTTTGCATGTTTGGTCAGATTACTTGACACAGGTTGAAATTATTAATTTTTTATTTTTTCCATGGAATAGCTTGAAGAAAAACTCCACTGAGCAGGCAAGGTTCTTACATGCTGTCATTCTGAGCTGTCATCTGAAGGTTGCTCTTAGCACAAGAGCTAAGTAAAATGCTTGCTTTGAGGGGTCCTGTAAGTACACATCTAAGAAGTGAATGGCTCTAGGATCACCCCATAATCATTGACTAATGTAGCCACTCTTTGTGATTTGTTTGTGCTGAAGAGAAAAGGGTTGATAATTAGCTACTGTTCTTTGAAAAAAAAATCTTGGTTCTGTTTTGTATATGCTAAGTGAGGATATCAAGCATCTGGACATTTCAAAGTGGGCATTTAGAGAACCACAGGGGTGGATTCCTGATCCTCCACAGGCAACTCACTATTGGGTTTGGATCTTCATCCACCTTGTTTCTAGCAGAAAAGAATGCAATCAATGCTTTAAATATTAAGCTGCATTCTTAAAACAAGTTCATGGTTATGATCTGGTTATCTATTGTATATTAATACACCTACACTAATACAGAGAGTTAGAGGGTTGTGTGTGTCTGTTGTGTTTAATCTGTGTACCAGTGGACTCAATAATCAGGTGATGTGCTTCATCTACAGATCTTCTGGTAAATTTCTCCAGAAAGGGGGTGTTTCATTATTGAGGCTGACCAACTCGCATGCTATGGCAACCACAACTGTTTTGTGGTGATTATAATAACAACTCATTTAGCAATGAGGAAAAACTAAATGAAAAACCAAGCACCCCACAGCAATTGGAGGTGAGGCAACAGAAAAAGAAATTGGCAACCATAACCATCTGCAAGCTGTGGTTCAAAACAGTAGCCTTATATTTCTTTGGAAATAAATCAGCTTTATTTGGAATATTTCTTAACTGCTAATCAAGAGAATGAATTAAATGGCTTTATGTTAGATCTTGAGTCTGCTCACATCTCCTGCTTTTTTGGCTGCCTCTGATTTCTCTTCATCTGCAAACAATCACAGGTGACAATGTAAAAATAGAACATCCTAAGAGATTTTTGAGATCCTGTGTTATTCTTACGGGTATCTTTTTCCATTTCCATCCATCTGCTCATCTTTCTTTAGAACTGGTTTAAGCAGCTGAATTTTGTGCTCCTTTCTTTTGGAAACGGTGATTTCTGATCAGACCTTTTCTCTGGTAGGTTCTTTGCTGCCCCTTATTTGATGGCCTTTCTGTCTTTCTCTGGCTTTTTTGTCAGTTCCCTTTCTGGGACTGGTCACACTTCCAGTAACTTTCCTCATAGTTTTACCCTGCTTTGTTTTGCTGGTAAACTAAGCTGTTTCTGGTTGTAGGTTGGTTTTAGCAAGTTTTTCGTTGATCTTAGAATGTTATGCCTTTATCTAAATCTTTATATATGCTGCTTTGTTCTTGTCTAACCAGTTCAGTTTCAGTTCCAGTTGGTCTTCCTAGATATTACCAGACTTTCAGAGCTCAGATCTAGTTGTCTTTTTTTTTTTAATTCTAGTTTTGTAAATACATGTTCTGCATTTTTAATCAGTGTGATTATATAATAGGTTTAGCACCAGCTTAACCTAGAGACTGCCTTGAAAAAACTAACTGTGGCTGTATTCTTTAGATCTTGCATGTATTCCTGGCTTTAATCATTCCAGTAGCCAGAAGGCATCTGGCTACATTTGTAAGCATTTAATCAACTTGTTTTGCTAATTGTTTATACTGGAATTTGTTGTTAGCATCTGGTTTTACTTGAGGTGTCTAAATATCTGTCCGGGCTTCTGTCTGTCAGTCTCTTCAGGAGCTATTTCTGCTTTAATCCCTTCCTGTGAAAGCTAGTGAACAATATTAAAATGGTCTGGATTTTTAACACATAGTTATATTATAGATACTGGAGGATATTTAAGAACTTTCCTTAACATAGCCACAGAGCTCTACTTTTGTTTTTATTGCCAGTTTATTTTAATCTCTGTCCTGTGCAGTATTGAGTCATGCTAAAAATATCTTCATTAGATTCCATTGATCTACAGCAGGGCACTCAGGCATGCTGTGTCTGAGTCCTGTGATAACTTTGCTTTAATTAAGTTATTAAGTATATTGGAAAATTAAAACCTTAGTAATTTTTAAATTTTTTTCACGTGTTCCTTTTCTAGGATTCTCAGATAGTTGCATTGATTTATCTAGTTACTTTTATTTAGATTTGCCTGTTAATTTTAACCTGGCTTTGTTATCCTCTTGGAATTTTTTTAAGATTCCAGACTTTGTACTTAATACATATTTTGTGACTGACTGAAGCACATTTTATGCAGAACTACCATTTAAGAACTTTGGAAGAATTTTTAAATCAAATTGTTATATAATACGACAGCTAATCTGTGTAACAGCTTTTTAATGGAATATTGGGTAGGAAGAAAAATTGATTTGGCATCTCTGCTTGGTAGTTTAAAACCAACCAGACACACTGGCTAGCCATGCTCCTTCATTTTGTTTTCTAGCCTTGTAAACATTTCCACATTCCATCTGTGATGTCTAGTCCATGCATGAATAAAATATGAAGTAATTTAATACCCCCACATAATATGTCAAGGGGGTTGCTGTTTATTCTCAGACTTGAAACTTTTAAAGATCACGTGCTGAAAGCTCTCGGGGTTTTGCTACTCATTTGGGGCCCTGCCTATGAGGCCATGTTGTATGAACATGCCACTTTCTCTGTAGTGTGGAGAAAAAAAAGGGGTTTTTTGTACTTTTATTTGTGTTGTGACTGAGGAGGAGCAAGGATGCTGAGGAGGAACAGAGTTAGCTCTTGGCTCTGTTCCTGTGTTTGGAATCACAGAGAGGGGACAGAGCCCGTGGCCATCCCAGGTACCAGCCTCATGGGAGCTTCCATCCAGCAGGCAGCTGGGGCTGGATCACAGAAGGGAACTGGGAGCCTCTGGAATACTCTACCTCCAGAGCAGTAACCTTTCAGGATGCAGGTGAAGGGATGAAGGCTGTCAATTAACAGCTTTGTGTCCTCACCAGCCCAAACCTCTGTGCTGGAGTCAGGAGGCGCTGAGGGCTCGTGTGGCCAATGCTCCATGTGTGTTTGTGTGTGTTCAAAGAGTGTTCTCTGCTCTACATCTGGCACATTGCAGAGCTCTGCTTGTGCAACCATGCACTTGGGCCAGGGTGCCAAGTGTCTGGGCCCACGTTTCAGTCTCGGGTAGGATAACTTCAAAATGTATTCTCATTTTGAGAGTCTATGCTGCAGCATTTCCAGAAGCATTCAGTGTCTGTGTCATCAGTGTGACACAGTAGTGGCAAAAATCACTCTTGCACCTTGTCTGTGTCGTCCCTAACTACTCCCTCCACACATAAATAAAGATTACAAATGTGCCTTAGCCATTATAGTTATTAGCACACAGTCCATAGTCAAAACTTTATCTAAATGGGTAGCCTTGAGTTCTAACAAAGACTTTTGTTTCTTGGTGTACATCAGTTTAAATAAAGAATACAGTTAAAATCAGTGTTTGACTAGTAGTTACTAAACATGATTTTTTCTTAAATAAGAACATAGTGCCTTTGACAGTGAAAAATGGACACCAAAATAGCTTGAATCTGTTATTTTAAACAGCCTGACAGCTAATATATAGTCTATATCTAAGTGTAAACGAGATGTGAATATTAAAAAAGGTATTAAAACAAGTAATTGGATTTCTTTATCTGTAGTGCATTCTTCTCAGAAAAGAGGACACTATCACTCCAGATGATGACCTGTGTTTTGTCAATTAAATTGCTGTAGGTTCCTTGCTGAAATAATTATTAGGCAAGCCTTCCTGAAAAGGTTTGTGACTTGCATTTTCCTTGTACTCCCTCCTTGATTACAATTCCCTGGCAGAGTCCAGATTGCTCAGCAGACTGCTAGACATTAGAAAATCAAATTCAGATATATCAAACTATGATCCCACATATGAAAATGACAGACTGTAGTAAACATGCATGAGTTGGTTTTAGTCTTTCAAATATCCATTTTTTCCAGCTTGCCTTTGTATCTAGGCATTTGTTCAATATATTACCATAGAATATTTAAGGAAATAGTTTCAATAATATCTTTCCATGAGGACAGTATCTTCAAGAAACTTCTTCTCTTCACTTTCCATTTCACATCAGAAAGAATTTCTAGGTATAGATAAGTATATTTGCAAGTTCCTGCTTGGCTCTTTGGTTTCATTTTAGTCCATGAAGTACAAACTTCTCCTTGGACAATGAAGAGTGTGTGATACTTGCAGGATGTAATGGGAATTGTGGTTTTGTAGTGAACAGTCTCTGGAGTTGTCCTACAAGTGAGTTTTATTGTGTGCTAAAGCAGTCTGTGTGACTTGCTGTTAGCAATATTGTCTGGACAGCCCTAAATCAAATCCTGAATGGGCAGGACTGCAGAAGGCAGGTTTATACTGGTATCCTTCAGGTTAAACCCACTGATGCACAGGCTTTTTTTCCTCCTGGCATAAAAAGTATTTGCAAGAGGTAAGTTTATGCTAGCTGTCCTTGTTTCACCAAGATCTATCTTCTGCAAACAGGCTTGTGTTTACAGAAACCAAAGTGAAAATAGCATGTGAGCAGCATAAAGCCACTGTGGTCCAAATAATTGTGTATTTGCATAACTGAGCAGTATTTAAAGGACTGGCTGGCCTACTTTGGGACAGTTCACTACACACTTTTCCTTAAGAGTTTGTTGTCTCCAGGCATCTCTCAAGAAGAGGAAGTAAAAGGCTCTGATTCTAAACTGCACTGTTTTCACACAGAAGTAGAAAACTGCTTTAACTGTCTTGTTCCAGTTTTTGATAAATGGACATTGACATGGACTACGAAAGACCCAACGTTGAAACTATCAAGTGTGTGGTGGTTGGAGATAATGCAGTGGGAAAGACTCGTCTGATCTGTGCCAGAGCCTGCAACACAACCTTGACTCAGTATCAGCTGCTGGCAACGCACGTCCCGACTGTCTGGGCCATTGATCAGTACCGTGTCTGCCAGGAGGTAAGGGCTGCAGGTGTGTAAGGTGTGCAGCACATGCTGGGAGGTGCTGCTATTGTTTCTTGGCAAGCCTCACCCTGCCAGGATGCAGCAATGAGCTCACAAGTATTTTATGAGTGACCTCTACTGCAGCCATGCTCTGATAACACCTCTCGTTCTAAAGTAATTTCTTTATCAAACCTATTTTTAGGGATATAAATATTCTGCCTGATTTATAAGATACATCTTTTGGTAAAAACTGCATGAGGCAAACCCTTGACCTAGTATGTTTTGGACCTTTTGATGGGGTGAATTACAAAGTAACTGTCTGATGGAGGGAAAGAGAATGTTCTGTGTGTTCTCTTCTAGGTCCTTGAACGCTCAAGAGATGTTGTGGATGAAGTGAGTGTTTCTCTCAGGCTGTGGGATACTTTTGGAGACCACCACAAAGACAGGCGCTTTGCTTATGGAAGGTAAATTGATCCAAGTAAAATTTTAAGAAATACTTGCGTTCAAATTTTGGGGTAGAAATAAATTGCAAATCCAAATTTTGAAAAGCAAGGACTTAGCAATCACGGGTATTCATGTTCCTGCCCACTGCAAAGAGGATTATCTGCTGGAAGGATTAAAAAGATATAAATATTTAAAAAGCAGCATAGTTTTACTATGCTACATTTCCTTGAACAGCCTGCTAAGCTCTGTCAACAACTGTTGTCCTATTTTGAATTTTAAAGTACATTCTCCAAAATAAGATTGTAGCTTCAGAAAATTGAACATGAGCATTCTCTGCCTGTATAAGCAGTGTTTGATATAATTGCCTAACAAGCAACAAACAAGGAGAGATGTTGGGAAATATCACTCTCACTCAATGAAATATTTATTTTATTAAAACCTGTGATGTTGAATGGGCAGCTAACCTCTTGAGAGCAGAGCTAGATTCATGAAAGATGAGGCTCTTCTATATTTCCTTAATTAAAGCTGAAGTTTTCCTTCTATAAATATAAAATGTCTGTTAGTGAATCAGTTAACCCTGGAAATTCTAAAAATACATGTATAATAAATATATATTTAAATGAATGTGATCTAGATTTTTCCAGCATGTGTTATATATGTGTGTGTATATACATGTTTGTAAAAGTTCAGCATAGTTTCAGCAAGGACTGAAGCCAGTGATAGTCTTTCTGGTTTGTTTAATTAGATCTGACCTTGTGGCAGTACAGACAGCAGAACAGCTGTATTAGGCAAATACTGAGCTGAAGGTGGGTTTTGGACATACCTTTTCATAACTCATATTTGAGAGGTCTCAGTCCTCACACATTTTTTCACCTTGTTGAACTTTTTCATAACCTTTTCATATCTGCTTCAGTCACTGCAGTTGATCAGACCTTCACAGACAGACACATTTTTTTTCCAGCTGGGAATGAATGCCCTTTGTAGAGTGTCAGCCCCAGCTTTCTATTGCATGTGGCCAAAATGTACTGTCTTGCTGTTTTTCTTCTCTCTGTGCTGCCTGATGACACAAGTGACTTTGAAGGAGGATGGTCTTTTCTATTCTCTACCCCTTAGAAATGCTGTAGAGGGTTCTGCTGGTTGAATCCACCCATTAAATTTTCAGGCTGTAGAACTCTCTATGTTTGTGCTACACTCCTTTGTGTACAGCACTGTTAGTGGAGTTTTCACAGAGTCATGAATTACCTGGAATTTTCTGTTGGGAGCTAAAGTGGCAACACATCTGGGCTGCACAACCTGTACCATTTCTAAATAAGCTTTGTGAGAGAAGTTACAGACTTTAAGGTAATATTTACCTTAATATTTAGTGCTACTGGAAGATGTCCATAGATACTGTTTTACCTTTTGGCAGCATGTGGAGCCTGCATTGATAAATTTGGATGTAACTTCATGTTTCCATTCACTGTTCCACTTTGATGTGGCCTCCCGATATTCTGCAACAGATACTGTGTCACTGAGAAGATTACTGGAGATTAGGAGAGCAGAATCAGGCATGTTCTGAACCCTGATCCCACATTTACTGACAGGATGGGAGAGGGAGGAAACAACATACTTAGATTCTAATCCTGCAAACGCCAAGGAGGACGTGCATAACTTGAGATCTCGAGGATTAAGCATATGAACACAGTGATTCATTTGTGAGGTTTGCAGAACTGAACTTGTGTAGAATGAGGTTTGCTGTATCCTAATTAGCTTTAAAAGGCTGTTCTGGAAGCCTGCTCTCCTGTTAGTGGTTTTTCTGCAAGTCTATTAATGAAGAAAGTAACTGGAAGCTCTACAGAAATAGTTTATAAATAGAATTTCAGTTTTATAATGTTGTGATTGTAAGCATTTAGGTACTTGGTTGTTTTAAGAATGTTAATGTTGCAGTCAAAGCAGACTGTTTAGTATTTCATCTGGGTTGGCATTTTAAAACTAGTTTTTCAATGCTGAATGTTCATATTTCTAGGAATTTATTTTAAATCACCTCTGCACATTGAGCTGCAGTCTAGTCAGCTGTGTCAAATCTTGCAATACAGTGAAAGGCCTATTTCATGCCAAACTGTTCAAGGTTACACCTGCAAGTGCCCCATGTTTTGATTGTCTGAAGGATCATTAATAATATAATCCTTTGGTTCTCTTAAAAAAATTCTGTGCATCTGCACCTTATGCAGGGGAAGGCTTACTCCAGCTAACATTCAGCCAAGACCTCTAATTGTCCTAAACCTGGTGTAACAAGAACCAGCAAGTCATTAACTCGCCTGCTGCTCCTTGGAAAAGTTTGCTCCATACAGTTCTAGAAAATGTTACATAAATAGATTATGCTATAGATGACTGGGTGAACAGTTAATCGGGCTTGTAGCACAGATAAATCCTTCTTAACTTTATTTTTCACAGATAGAAACATGAAAGGAGGGGAAAAGGAATCTGTTTTCCACTATTTTTGTGTGACAGGACTAGAGAAACATTTGAATGCCACTGGGGATGGAATAGTTAATGTTTCTCTGCCATCCCTTAATGGGAGTATGGAGAGTGAGATCAGCTTGCATTCTGCTCTGTGGTGTTTAGTTTAATAATCACACTCCTCTGGGAGCTTTGGGAAACAGTTCCTGACAGCTAAAGGAGTGAGGGGGATGTGGCTGCAGAGACTTGTGGAAATATTTGCTGCAGTTTACAGAATGACATTTTTCCCCCCCTTAGACTAAAGTGTGTGCTTTAGTTTTGGAAATATCCTGTTCAGTTCAGCTTAAGCAGTATGTGATGCCAAACAGCCATTTATTAATAATTTCCCATAGGGTTTCATTTGGTGCACAATCATCCCAAAATGCTGTAAAATGATAATGCCTTGGTTATGATTTAGTGTATTGATTTCCAGCTCCCAGCCACCTCTTTGTTTAATAACAATCTACCCTTGGTGCTATTGTATTCTCTAAGCCTGCAGATGAGGTGTGAACTTCATTTAAAGCCCGAGTTGTTATTCTGTAGCAGTTTCTCTGGGAGGAAAGTGTAAAGACAAAACATCTTAATTTACATTTCAACTTGTCAGGATTCACTGTCTCCCATCCTCCTGTCCAATCTGGTTTTGAATGAGAGTGTCAACATATCATCATGTTCAAGCTAATCCTAGAAGCTGGCTTGTAGTTCTTTTTCTCCCTTTTTGCATCCTTTTTTTTTTTTTTTTTTTTTGTTTTCCTCCCCCAGGTGAACATATTTGGTTAATTTGATAAATAGCCTCTGTATCCTGGGGTTTTTAACATGCAGCTCTAGTATGTGTAAATATAAGCACAAACCTGCAAAGAGTTAATTCAATCAAATATTTATTCTCAATACCGAGAATGGGGGTTGTTAGCTAATTCATCCAGGATGACTTATTTACTTGCAACTTAAATATGAGCTGTAGACCAAACAAAATCTGTTCATACAGCACGGACAGAAAACAGCTTTTTCCTCATGACTTACAAATGTGAATGAGTCTTGCTGTTAGACTGCTGACAGAGCCTCTTAAAATAGGTTTAGACTATTTCCTCTGTGGTGAATGGATTTTGTAAGCCTTTTGGGTATTGTATGTATGCAGAGGAACATATGCATTCAACTTTCTGTGTGATTACAATTCCCTTTACCACTTACTCCAATGTAATTGAATCCCTAAAAATATACCTTTGGAATGCTGCTGAAAGGAGTCCATGAGAACAGGGCTTTATCACTGACATCTGAAGACTTCCACCAACTTCCTTCCGATTTTTTTTCCTCAAGGGACAAATGATGATGCTGTTTCTGTAAGAACAAAACCAAGGTAGCTTTGAGGTAAAATGGTACTTTCATTCATCAAATTCAGTGAGATTAGGGTGAGGTTTGTGGCTTCACAGAGTTACTTGGTCTGCCTTTGGTTAGATCAGTGCCCTCTGTCATGGAGCAGCTGGTGCCTGAACTGAGGCTGGGCCAGCAGCTCCCCTCCTTTATTCAGAGAAGGTCTGAGGTTTCAGAAGTGCCTTGTGAATGAAAGCTCACTCATTCCCTGTGCCTCTCAAGCCATTGCTGGCCTGGGTTGGAAGTGATCCTCAGAGATGTCTCTCTAGAGCAGAGGTACTGAACAGACACAGGACAGTCTCTTGCTCACTAGCAGAGGCTCAGCTGATGGGGAATCCAGTTATTTCAGGTGTCTCTCAGCTCTGCTGCTTCCTCTTGTTACATTTTCTGCCAGAAAAAAAAGTGACAGGCAGTATCTTTAAATCACCTTCAGCCACCCAAATTTGTAAGCCTCCCCTTCTACTTTACAGTGGTTTATAACTATTCAGATTCTTCATCATATGATCATGAGGAACTGTAAAAAAAACATTTTTACAACATACACATATATTTGTTATGATATTTTTCTCTTTTGAGTTTGACTTAGGCCCAAGAAAGACTGTGATAAGCAGAGAGGGTCACATAGACAGCTTTCTCCAGTAACTTTACTTTGACAGGCTGTGTGTATGCACTGTTTTTTTTTCTTCTTTTGTTACCTGTGTGAAAGCTCTTTCATTCAGCTGATGGGGAAGTAAATGCTTTATATTCTTAGGCCACTGAAATTAATGCAGACCTACTTCTCTCCTGTGCATCCCACCATGGTTCCATACTGTGAGTAGAAAGAGGTTGCTGTGGAATTTCTGTTAGGATTCCTTCCTTTCTTAGAAAGTTGTGTGCCAAATGGGGCTGTTAGTGAGCCTGAGGCTCAACTTGATGTATATGTAATTTATCTACAATAGAAGGACATTTCCAATGCTTTGATCCTTCCTTAAGGAGTAAAAAAGTATGTGGCAGTTGTTATTTGTGGTATTACATCATTTCACATTTTGCCTTGCTTTCCTAAGTCAGGGGCTGGGTAGAAAGGGGCATTTGGGCTCTACACTGAAAGGCTGTAAGGCAACATCAAAATCTTTTGGAAATTGTAAGTGTGGGAAGCTACTTATTGTCAAAATCCTGATTTTAGTGAATTATTTCTTTGTGAATAGGTATTAGGTGGATTTCTTGTGCTGTTTTCCACTCCTAAGGTCTCAGGATCTCAGTCTGGGTTTCCTGGTTTTCCGTGGCAGGGGGATAGAAAGTGTTCGTCTTTAAGGTCTAGTCCAACCCAAACTGTTCAATGATTCTATAAAGCGCTTGGTGTTCAGGTTTAAAAAAATGTTTATTGAATTACTCCTGAATTTTACTGGGAAATGGCTATGAAATTCTGTTTTTAGAATAAATGCAACTTGTATTTGTGAATATGTTGCTGCAGAGAGAAAGGACAAATCAGGTTTACTTTTTTTTTCTTCTTTCTCATTCTCTAGGTAACCAACACAAAAAGTAACTGCACAAATACGGCAGTAGAATAGGCATTTTAAAAAATCATACCTTTTTACATTCCCTGAGAATATTAAAATAACATTGGTAAATTTTTAATGTTTAGGAAATATTCATGCATATTTTAACCTGACAGGGTCTGCTTTTTTATGAACAAATGTCGAACCAAACTTTATACTGCAGTGTTAGCAAGTTGTAAATGTGCCTTTGACTTTAATAGGAATTGTAGGTACTTTAATTAAAATTTCCAAAGGACACCTTCCCTGAAATGCTCACACTTCTATGTAGCTGGTTAATCTTCCTCATCCATTTCTGTCTCCAGTTGGTACTGAGTACAAATTGTGCTTATGACTTGAATGAAATCTTAATTTATTATGATAGAGTGGCTGTATTTTGTGAGCTAGCAGAGCCAGCTGTGGTGCTGGTTCAGCGTGTGAACTCTGCCACTACCCAGCGCTTTCCCATCCGTCCTGTTCCTGGCACAGAACCATTAAATCATCTCTGTCCAGTGCAGAACTCTCAGGAATCTTTGTTTTATGGGGAAAGGATAAATAATAGGATAAATACAAGATAAATAATTTGCAAACCACTTTTTTTTACCTCTTTACTCTGTTATTCTTTCCATGTGGAAGGCAGTAAGGTGACAATGTCCTGTTAGTGCAGTGCAGTGAGTTTTGGAAGAACCCAGCTTTGCTCATCTCCATTTTACGGTTGTCCAGCAAAGGTCAGAGGCAAGGAGCTGCTCAAGGACCACGGTGGCAAAAACATGATTCTCCCTTGGCAAGGGCTGTAAGACATGCAGGGCTGTGCTGGGGGCAGCCTGCTGGCTGCTCTGGGCCTGCCCTGCCCAGAGACACAGCTCACCCCTGGCTCCCTCCGGAGCACAGACTGTGCCCAGCACGGGGCACCTGGGGAACTGGTGTGTCCTGCCTGTGAACACCTGCTGGAGTTGTTTCCTTTTGGTTTTCTGGGAGATGTGATGTGTGTCTTGTGGCTTGTAAGGTCAGGAGGGTTGGGTCCTCGTGACTGCAATTACTGGGCTTAGGTATTAATTTCTGAAGGATGCTGACAGGCTGTCTCTGTAAGATGCTTAGCTGTAGTTAGGAGCAGCCAGGCAGCCAATGCTTGCCACTCCAGCAGTTGTGATGGCCTTGAATTAAACAATTGACCCTATTAGAATACATGTAACACAGAGTTTTATGTACCTTAGCTGTACATTGATTTCTCTTTCTGGGATCTAGCAAATGTCTCCTGGGGTTTAGGTTTTACTCCCACATGACCTTGAATAGAGTAAGTTTGAGTTTAAAGCATGTTTGCCTCAGCTGTGCAGCAGACCATTGTGTTGGCTGCTTAGCCCTTCACTATTTACTAGAGAACTTTGCAGTTTGAAAAAGCCTTGTTCCTAGATATGACAGATGTGTTGCAGTTTATATAAGACAGAAATTTGGAGCAGGAGCATTTCTCTTACATTAAATTGATGCTCACAGCAGTCTCCATATTGTGTGCAGCTATCTTTAGAAATAGCTGGATATGTCTGTGCCCTCAGTGAAATGTAGAAAGCAGCACTACTGAGGAGCTATTTCATTATTTAAAAGGTGAATGTTAAGATTCACTACTGCTGATGCTCTGTACATGACACAAACTGCAGATACAACACATTGGTGCTAAATTAAAGAATAATAGAACTGAGATAGAGATGGTATTGCTGAGTTTATCCTGCTGACAATTCTGTAGCAATAAGTTGCCTCCTCAAAATGTCCCTTCTCCTCAATTTCCCTCAAGAGTTCAAATTCAACTTTTTTTTCTTCTTTTCTTTTCTATTTTTTTCCCATAAGAGACCCAAGAGCTTGAGAACTGCTTGTTTATAAATAATAAAACTGCCCCTAGTTAGGTATGCCCTGAGACAAGTATTCAATCATTTCTCTGCCTTTGGGTGCCAGCTCTGACAAGAGTTAGGCTGTGGTTCAGTGGATGAACTGTCAACCTTAATCCTCATACTTATAATTTATATACCAAGTTCATTTAGCGAAGTAGTTTCTGTTTTCTTAGAAACCTTTAAAAGCCTGCAAATATTGCCATGCTTACTCTAATTTAAGCCACTGTCCTATTCTACAGTTTACTGACCTTATTTTCACTGTAATGTTTATTTTTGCTGATATTGTAGAAGTGGTCATTCTGCAGCAGTTTGCCCTTCTAACAGGTTATTTATTAAAGACATTGGAGAATTGCTGTGCAAAGCACATTGCAAAGGCAATCACCTCAGTACTTCAAACAGTGCAGTAAAGGTATTTCTCCATGACAAGTTCACAAGTGATCTGTCTGCCTGCGTGGCTGTTCTGAAGTTTTGCACAGCTCCTCTCTAATTCCTAAGCACCAATGATCTTTGAACTGCAATTTAGGTGTCCAGTCAGCAGAATTGTTTCTGGAGCAGTGGCAGCCTGTGAGTAACTGTTGTGTAAAAGTAGAGAATGGAAAGCCCTACCTCTCTTCTTCCGCTCCCACGTGCTGGGATCATCTCAGCATGGAGGGGCAGTGCTTCCTGGGTATGTGGCTTTGTGCTCCCATGCTTTTGTGATGAAATGTGTAGCTTCTCTCACACCTCTGCACGAACAACATCTATTCTGACATCTGGGTGTCAGCACGTTTGGCAAAGAGCAGAGTAATGGAAATAGGTGAAACTGCAGCAAAAACCATTTGTGGGGTTTTCATCAGGTATTTTCTTGTTACCTTTCTAGGTCTGATGTTGTTGTTCTGTGCTTTTCAATTGCTAATCCTAATTCCCTGAATCATGTGAAAACAATGTGGTATCAAGAAATCAAGCACTTCTGTCCTCGCACACCTGTCATCCTGGTGGGCTGCCAGCTGGATCTCCGCTATGCCGACCTCGAGGCTGTTAACAGAGCCAGACGGCCTCTGGCAAGGTAAAGTTTAAACAAAAATGAGAATTTAAAAAAAAAATCACCTTGGTAGTCAGGTACAACACTTGCAAAAGAGAAACTGGAGAGCCTAGTTTCCTTTTTTTTAGCAATGAGAATATATGTGCTTTCTTCTTTTTTTAATTCTGTTGTCTGAGTTGGTTAGTTCTTTAACACGCACAGTTATTAAGTTTCCCACAAAAGTTTTGCACATTGGATATCTAAATGTGTTTGGGTGGCAGAACACTACAGTAAGATAGAGATGGTAATGATTATTGAATGTTTCCTTATGTATTTTTCTCCATGAACATATGTATCATGTCCTACCCTCTCACTATTGTCAGGTACTGTTTTAAACTGTCAGATTCTACTCAAATTTTCTTAATTCTCACAATTTGGTTTTTTTGCTAAATGTGATCCTAGATCATAGCAGAAAATGAAATGGTTGCAAATTAAACTTCTGAAAGTTCTGAGATTGAAAGAGAGTTTGGGGGTTGTTCTTGAGAAGCTTTGTTTCTCCCAGATACAAAATACAACCATTCACATATTTGGCAACAACAGTCCCACAATAACTGGCTTGCTTCTAATTTATTCCTTTTATGGGAATTTGAATGAGACCAGATTCACGGAAATAATATCCATGATTGTGTAATTAATGACTGTATTGTAACAAATTTCCGTAAAGATATTGAATTAATATTTTGTGAGCCCTTAGAAAACTTTGCATTGCATTGCAGTCAAACTCTTGATGTAACAATGTGATTTTTATAGGTCTGTTTGTTCATTAAACATTTCTTTGTTGTGAGGGTGGGGTGGGCTTTTTGGTTGACTCTTTAAAAGGAAATTGTGTTTTTTCAAAACTCCTCTTCTGCCCTAATCCTGCTCCCTGATTTCACCATTGGTAATTTTGAGTCAGAGCTCTGTGTGTCTGGCACAGACTCCTGCCACCTGAACTGGTTATTTATTAGCTGGCACTCAGCAAGCTGTTGTCTGGGGTGTGTTCCATCTGTGCCAGCTCGTGTCTGCCCAATATGGTGGGCTCACAGAACACACTCTTGGGTCGTGTCTTCTGGGGAGATGATTTTTTTTTGCTGGCAAAATGGATCCTAGCCCAGACTTTTTACTGGTTTGTTTACCCTGTATCATGTACTAGAGCTGCTCTGGAAATTCATGAGTTCCCACATAATGCTCCTGCAGCCAAAACAAGCCTATCTCTTGCAGTGTGTGTTGTTACTCTTTTGTTGTAGGCTACTATGATTTTCTTTAAAAAGCATGAGCTTAAGGAATATTTCCATTTAATATTTAGCTGTATTTCTGGAATTTTTATGTCATGAGAATTTCTGTTTGTGTTTAAATGATGGTTGTGACAGAATATCTGAGTAGTAAGGGGTGGTAGCAGGTTTTTTAAATAATGAAAGTTCTCGAATATCCTATCAAATTCTTTTACTGTAAATTTCACTTTAAGTAAGAGGCAGCTCCATTTTGCTTAAATGATTTCTTTGTGTATTTAGTAACATTGCAAAGACACCGCCAAACTTAAATGAAATTTAAAACATGTGCTATTCTAAAACTCTCTAGGGTCATGACTGTAGATTTCCAAAGGGCTTTGTGCGCTTAGTTTTATATTTTGTTTCATTTGAATGATAGTTATCTCAGATTTAGTGCTGAATATTTGGTAAAATTCCATGATTTCTAGCGTAACTTTGTGTGACAAGGTTCATTTTTTGTTTACCCTAGGCCAATAAAAAGGGGAGACATTTTGCCACCAGAGAGAGGCAGAGAGGTTGCCAAGGAACTCGGGATACCCTACTATGAAACCAGTGTATTTGACCAGTTTGGAATTAAAGATGTGTTTGACAATGCAATTAGAGCTGCCCTGATCTCCAGAAGACACCTACAATTCTGGAAATCTCATTTGAAGAAGGTCCAAAAACCTTTGCTTCAGGCTCCATTCCTACCTCCAAAAGCCCCTCCTCCAGTTATCAAAATTCCCGAGTGTCCCACACCGAGCATGAATGAAGCTGGATATTTATTGGACAGCCCACTGTGTGCAGATGTCATGTTTGTTCTTCAGGAGCAGGACTGCATTTTTGCTCACAAGATTTACCTAGCTACCTCCTCTTCAAAGTTTTACGACCTTTTCTTAATGGAATGTGAGGAAAGTCCATACTTGGATGAAACACAGTCTAATAAAGAAACTACAAATAAGGATGTTCTGACGAGTCACCTTGAGACAAACAGTGACAGTGACGAGGCATCCTTGAAATCTCTTGATGTTAAAATTCCCCCACCAGAAAGTAGTGAGTCTTTAAACATGCTAGAACCTGAATCTGGTGAAACAAACTATGCAGCAAGATCTCTGTCCTGCTGGGGTAAGGGGTTTGTTAGCATGCACAAGGAAATGCAAGTGAATCCTGTCTCAAAGAGGACGTGTCCTGTAACTGTGGTAAAAATGGATTCCTCTGTGCAAGCTGCACCTTTTAAAACTGTTTTGCAGTTTTTATACACAGGCCAACTGGATGAAAATGAAAAAGACCTCACCAGACTGGCTCAGATTGCTGAAATCTTGGAAGTCTTTGACTTGCGAATGATGGTGGAGAATATTATGAATAAAGAAGCCTTCATGAATCAAGAGATTACTAAAGCATTTCACGTCAGAAAAGCTAATCGGATAAAAGAGTGCCTTTGCAAAGGGACATTTTCTGGTAAGTAAATGCATGCTTAAGCAGGAAGGGAAGTGTTTCTTTTTCTCATCCATGTTACTGTCACTTCATAGACTTCAAACAATGTGACAGCTTACATTGTTCTGAGAGGAGGGATGACCCCAAAATTGTGGTGTTACTCAGGCCACTGTTCCAACCTGGGATTCTGTAGTTTAATTTCTCAAAATCTACTCACAGCTTTTAAATAAGCAATCCAATTCTCAGAAATGTTGAACATTCAATATCCCCCTTTACAATTAAAGCTTTTTATTAACTATTTAAAATGCAAGAGTTATTTTTGAGGTGGAGGTCATGGGAAATGAAGGAAGTCCTTGGTTAACAGCATGCAAGTAAAACACATTCTTGAGAACAGGTTGCACCCTAAGCCCAGACTTGCAGCATTGCTGTGCCTTTGTTCCTATGGCAGATGTGACATTTAAATTGGACGATGGAAGCATCAAGGCCCACAAGCCACTGCTGATCTGCAGCTGTGAGTGGATGTCTGCTATGTTTGGAGGATCATTTATTGAAAGCTCCAACAGTGAGGTATTTGTCTATTTTTGTCTCTTTTGTTTACAGTGTCTGATGGATTTTGGATGATGGAAGCATCATTTATTTGAAAGGTTGCAACAATCCTTAAAATCAGGGATTGATTCTTCCTTGCAAACCTGGGGTGCTTTTCTTCTTAAGGCATTAAATAAGGCTGCCCAGGAAGACAACATACTTTTTCCAATGCACAAGACTTCCTCCACTACTGGGCTGTGGGTTTAAACCCAAAGTCCTGTAAAATATTAAATGTGGGGAAGGAAATCAAGTATGAATTTGTGAATTTCTTTAAAATATTTTTTTTATATTTTGTGAATATATATTTATATAATCAAAATCACTACAAAGAATACTTGGGGTTGGGACATTGATAAAGAAATTAAAGATAAAAAAGGGTTAAAGATCATATGAGTGTTAAACTAGAAAAGGAAGCTGTTTTCACAGTAGAAACTGAGCTAACTATAGGAGAAGTTCTACTAACTTTAGTAGAAACTCAGCCTAGATTCTGCAATGCATCATCTTGTCCTCTGGAGTAAAGCAGGTATGCAATACTGTTTAAAAGATCTCAATGCTTTGAATAAGATTTTATTGCTTACTTACTATAACTTTTGCAGAAGAAGCCCTGTATTTTCATGGGCCTTCATGGTCTGTTTTTCAAATTCCAGACACGTTGCTAATATTTTTTCTTATGCCATACCCAGTTGTTTTTGTTTGTTTTTCTTGTTGCTTTCCAGACAGTTATGCTCATATGAAGTGTTAAAGTTTTTTGTGTTTAATATCCTGACAGATATTTTTCTACTTAGATTTTTCTGGCTTCTTCTAATACAGCTGTAAACATAATTCCTTTCCCAGAGGCACACTCAACAAGTGGTTCAATAAAAATAAATCATTTGATTCTAGTATGCAGCATTTGGCAATGAAGAATATGCATTTCTTTGCTACCAGCCTATTTTTAATTATTAGCTTCACAGTCTTAGCTCATCATTCAAATTTAAAATATTTAGCTTCCATTTTGTAGAGTTTAAAGCATTCAGTAATGCTTTTGGAAGCTTTAAAATATAGATAGATATGAATTGAATGGTTTACAAATAATAAAAACCATCTATTTTTACATACTACCTTTTCTGTATTTGGGGCAAATTTTTTAAACTCATTCATTAAATTTACAGTTCTCTGCATTAACAAAAATATATCAATAATAAATGAGTTTCACAGCTAGCTGCTCTCACTTGGAGAACTGAGCTGTTTCCCAGAGTGGCTGATATGCATGAAAGGTTTATGCTTTAGCATGAGAAATTAGACAGTGTTTATCCTAGTCCTGGCAGCTTCATTCCATGCTGGTTACACTTACTACATGTGTGGGGCAGAAAGGTCTTACATTTTTTTTCCTCATTTCTTCAGTTCTCAGTTCCTTCTCAACCTTGTTTACCTGGACAATTTGGTTATTTAGCAAAAGACAGAGGGGTGGTTTTACTGTTGTCCTTTGTTTTCTGCTAGTCTCAGAATCCACAGAAAATCCCTGCCAGGAGCAGAGAGATTGCATTCCTCAAGGAGTCCACCAAGGGAGTTTGGCATGGGAAGTGCTCAGTGGCTGTTATGTGTAGCTGTCAATTTGCAGGCTAGAGAGCATTGAACAGAGTCACTGTTTGATGTGGATCCAATTCCAGCTTGGATATAACCTGGCAAAGGATCTGACTCTGGAGCAATGCTTACCTGTTGGCAGTCTTGAACTTGAATGGGAAATTTCTGCTTTGAAAAATGTTTTCTCTGCATTTCTGAAATGCCTTGAAGAGAAACAAGCGAAGTGAGAGAAGTGAAATATAACTGCTATATGAAAATCCCTTAATAATTATAAATTCTCTTCTTAAATATCTTTTCCAGGTAGCTCTGCCCAACATTAACAAGACCTCCATGCAAGCAGTTTTAGATTATTTGTATACCAAGCAACTGTCCTCCAGTCAGGAACTGGACACACTTGAGTTAATTGCATTGGCAAATAGGTTTTGCCTTCCTCACCTGATTGCTCTAGCAGGTAACAATTTTTTGGCCAGCATCTTCTGCAACAGCTGAAATTTGCTTTAATGGTTATTGGAACACATAACATTTTCTCAAGTGTCAGAGAAATATTTTTTCTTTCTGAGAGGGGTATTGTAATGCAAATTGATATTTTCACACAGAGAAATGTATTTGCCTCTCTCTTGCCTTTTTAGTTTTGTGCTAATCCAGCTCAGAACACTGAAGTTTTCTGGGCTTTAAAAACAGAAAGAGTAAACCTTCTCTTTAGTATTGAGGATAATGTCTGTTGATTGTAATATCCATTCTGTTGTTGTTAATTTACCTAAAACCAGGAAGGATGCTGGGTTTTCCATTAAGTAATGAATGAAGTGTTCCACTTAATATTTCTGTTTAAAGAGAGTAACTGAGCCAATTCAAAACTTACCTAGATGATCATGTTTTTAGAAATGCTGTGTAGGTCCCTTTTCACTAGATGAGATGTGGATATTTTGGTATGGCCATGGGGATTCAACTCTCATTTCAGGAAGAAAACCTTTTCAATCCCATATTTAAAGAAAAATTACAGGTTAGAATACCACTAAAGTTTTAAAAATAAATCCATACACAACCCCAACCTCTGGGATTGTTTGGGTAGTGTTGTGTTTAATTTTTTTCTATGTCAGTAATTTGGCATTGTTCTGGAGACATCACCAAGACCAAAACTCAGAGAGAGCTGAAACAAAGCTACACCTACTTACAGGACTACATTTAGGCAAAATTTATTAACATAGCAAACCTTGGCTCTCCTTCAGCTGTGCATCAGGACTGTGTCTGTTGTCTTTACTGGTTCTTACAGATCAAATCTTTATTGCTAGATTTTATTTGCACATTTTAGCTGTAGTTTTGGGTATTTTTTAAGGTAACTGCAGTGTAAACATACATTCAGTATTAAGAATATTTCATTTCATTTAATTCTTGGTGAATAAATTTTGAGTCCAAAGGCTACTGCCAACACCTGAACCCAGTAGAATCAAACCAACTGCCAATGTTTCCCAAAAAACACTCAGACTTTTCAGATTCTAGGAAAGATTTAAGGAGAATCTTGAACTGAGGTGATTGTTGGGGGTGGGCTGGTGAGCCTTCATCTGAATCCCCAGGAACAGCCAATCTGAAAACCTAAAGAGGGCCTGAAGTGACCTTTTCTCTATCAGTGCTGTGTGAATACTCATTAATAAATAATTCAGTGGCAAGTGCACTGTTGATTAAAAACTTTGTATGACTGAAAGGAGAGAGCTGATCCATATTTCTAATTTAAATCGAATATTGCACCCATGCCAGAGAAAGACCAGTGACTGCTGAACTTTGTGCTTCCATAAGTGGTTATGAATCACATCTTCAGCCACAGCTCTAAAGGTCAGAATTTGACCTCCCCCAAATCTCAGCTTGCTAAGGATACCTGTGTGAACATGACTCCTGCATAATGCTGGTGGCCACCAGGAGGAGGGAGAACACACTGCCTGGGTTCTTTGTGACCATGGTATGACCTTGCAGTGTGGCTGCTTGCCCTGTGAGTGATGAGTTTTCTCCCCTAACAGAGCAGCATGCAGTACAAGAGCTGACAAAGGCCTCCATGAGTGGCGTTGCAATAGATGGAGAAGTCCTCTCCTATTTGGAATTGGCACAGGTCAGTGTACACAGCCTTCTGAAAAGATTCTGGTCAGCTGTAGGACTTGCTTTTAGCTCCCTACTGGTTCTGAGCATTCTAAGTGGCTCAAAGCCTGCACTTCTGAGAGTGATTGACAATAAAACTAGCTCTGTTGTCTATTTTAAAGGAGGTTTTTTTCATTAGTTCAAAGGTAAAATATCCCTTTAAGTAACCTCAGAGGAGTTGTCTTTCAAATATATATTTTAGTTTGTCTTGATTGTGGAACTTCCAAGCTCCATGTTCTCATGACCATGGTGCACTAACTAACATGAAAAGCAATGTAATGAAGCTGGTCAGCTTTGTAATGCTGATTGATTCTTGCTTTCCTTTCAATTCAGTTCTTGGAGATATATTTAGACCTGTACTGCAAAGACAAAATTTCTTGAATCCTTAACTACTTAAGGTCAATCACCTGATAGTTCAGAGTATGTGCAAATCTTCTTTATGTTCAAGTGCATTTCAATATTTCTTGAGTCCCATAAATAATTAAAAGAGAGAGCTCCTATCTGGAAGTTAAACTGCACACCTGTTTCCCAAAATGCAGCAGACCCCCAGCTACAGTGGAACAAGCTAAAATATTGTTTAAATTTTATTATTCTTGATTTCACACTAACGAGTCAGCTGCAGCTTGGCTTGAAGTAGCACTAAAACACTGCACAAAAGTAGCACTAAAAACCACTGGCCACCATACAAGATTCCCTGCAGCTGTTTTTGAGACCCTCTCTGCAATACCTGTAATCCTGTTGCAAAACCAGAACTGAACCCCTCCCAAGAGAAAGCAGCTCATTTAACTTCATTTTTATCTTAGGAAAAGCAATCTTTCTTTTATTTCCTTCTCCTGGTTGGAGACAGAAGCAATATCTCTAAGTACATTAGAATATCCTCTGTGGCCAGCACCTAGCTCATGTTTATACTCCAAGATCAGAGCTGGCAGTCAGAATGATCACCTGGGACAGTATGGCCAGGTACCATCTGCTGGGACCATTCCAGCTTTAGCTGTTAATAGGGGCTGCAGAATGAAGGATAACCCCAGGAAATGGAATAAGCTCTTTGTTTTTCTTCACAGTTTCACAATGCTAACCAGCTGGCAGCTTGGTGCTTGCACTACATCTGCACCAATTACAACAGCGTTTGCTCCAAGTTCCGCAAGGAAATCAAAGCTAAATCTTCAGGTATGGGCAACTTCCCTGCCAGTTTTCATCAGGTCTCCCCTTCTTTCTCCCCACCCAGTTGATTAAACATAAAGACAAAGATGAACTCACGTAGCTAAGCCATGAGACTGAACCTCTGTGCTATCGTGAACAGCATTCATAAATTCTTATCTGCAAAGAAAGGTCATAATCATTAGCCTGATTGCTGGGCAAGCATCATGTTCTTTACCTAATTCAGTGATGCTAAAAGGAACAGAGCTCTTTCAGGCTCTGCAATGAAAAATACACTCTGTAAAGGCCTTACTTTTTTATAGTTTTGGTGAACTAATGCCTCTTGTGTGTGACTGCTTTCAAAGTCTTTTCACACATTTGAGGAAACTGGGTGAGTCCTTGATAAGCAAGCCAGCATAGAGAATGCATCAATGATTAACTGCATAGCTTTTTGCAAGACTTTTCTGGGATTTGTGCATCTTACTGGCATCTTTGGGGATTTCTTTCATTGGTTTTTTCCCGTCAGATAATCAAGAATATTTTGAGAGGCATCGGTGGCCGCCTGTGTGGTATTTAAAGGAAGAAGATCACTACCAGCGAGTTAAAAAGGAGAGAGAAAAGGAAGATGTTGCACTGAACAAACATCATTCAAAGCGGAAGTGGTGCTTCTGGAATTCCTCTGCTGTAGTTGCCTGAACAAAGCAAATAAGTGGAAATCCATAGCCAGAAGTTACTCTTATTGTTAGAAATAACATAAAGTTCAGGTTTTCAGGAAACTGTGTTCCACTTGTGCATTTATTACTTCTAGGGTCAAAAGCACAAGCTCACCGAAAATGAGCCTGGAACAGCTCCTTGAAGTCATATGTATATTTTTGACTGGTAAGCAGATAAATGTCAACCATTATTACATTACTTTTTATACAAAAAAACCAAATCCAGCATTAATGTTTCAATCTCCAGTTGGGAAATATTTTTATACTGTCTGGTGTATTTTGTTCAGATAAAATTCTGGATACTGTTTTGTTTTACAGACCACAAAATAACCATGTAGCAGCTTTGTAATTAGATTTTAACTATTTTTACTATGCGAGTACAGTGAAATAGACAATCTTCAGTCATAAGAGACTGCTTTTAGAGTATCTCATAAAAGTCATCTTAGGAAAAAAAATCTAGCTGTCTACTATAGGTTGTCCTTTTCAAACTAAGTACTGTGCACTGGTAATATAATTAGATGGTTATTTCCCCTTTCTAAAGCAAAGGGTTAGAATAAGATCCAATAACTGCAAGATATAGAGTGCTTGATCTTTGCTCAGCTGAATAATAGACAGTATAATTACCTGTTCAACTGCAGGCAAATGTATTTCTAATATTTGCCATGTAAGTGCAAATAATTACGACTATGTGGGCCATGTGAAATCTAGTGATTCTAAGTATTCAGAGGTTTTCTATGTCTAGATCAAAGAGGATATTTCTAAAATCATTTAGAAGGGCTTATTAATTTATATCCTTATACAAGTATGGATCTGAATGCAAAAAGCAGTTACACTGCTTGCATTTGAATTACTGCATGGCAGTTACCTTGTTCTGCAGGATCTTCACCATGCAGCCGTTCCTCATGCTGAATTCCTTTTTGCTTCAGTGCAAGCAAATGAAAGGGCTGCACAAACAAGTAGATCTAGTTATCTAGTGTTCCAGCATTTTGTAAGTGAAGAAGGGTTTTCACACACAAGATTACTTCAGTTTGATCCAATTTATTTTATAGCTTTCCCAGGTAGAACTGAGAGTTTTAGGTTATTTTTAAGTAGGTGATATATTTCCTGTGGAAGTAGATGTTCCCAGAATGCTGGGGGCAGACTGATGGCAGAAAGGCAGGAATTCTGCACAAGTGGTGCAGGACAAAGCAAAAGCTTCCAGTGTTTCCAAATAGCCTGTGTGTTTATGAATTTTTATCAACCATTACTCTAAAGCTGCAGTGTTACACTAGATTACATAAGGATGAGAGCATTTTTTTAAAAGACCAAAACTAAAATACATAGACTGTAGAACATACACATGCAATCCTGTGCAGTGTCTCAGGCACAACTCTGTAACCAAGGTAGTATTGTGTATTAGGTTTGTTAATACTGTTCTGTGCTGGCAGCTCAGCACACCAATGTGAAAAGCTGTTTGTTTGTGGTTTTTTCTCTGTATCCAAAGGCAAGGCAGTACAGTCACCCCCCAGCACTGTAGGTCAGGAAAGGCTTTGGCCTGAAAGCCATAAACACCTCGACATATTTGCATTCTGCACGGACTCATGCCAGGCTGAGGCTGCCACAGCTGGGTGGTGGGAGCCACCAGCATGGAGGAGAGGCTGCTCTACAAACCTGTACGAGGAGAGCAAGGGAGAGATTCCTACCCCTCTGAGATCCATCACCACGTGGTGATAAAGAAGGGCTATAAACAATGGTTGCAAATATGTCTCCTTAATCCTGGGTCAGTGGCAAAGTGGACAAGAACATGGAATGAGAGAAGGTATGTCAAGACAGAAAAATAGCTGTTGTCATAAAATGTTAACCAATCACATTTTAAGTAAGTATTGCTCCTAGGTTTTACACAACCAAAGCTACTGTATGATTGTAATCTTGCCAAACTGTAATGGATATATAAATGAACCTGAGGTATATGCAATAATATCCAGTTATTCTAGTTATCAGCTACTATAACCAAGTGGCTGGTTCATTTGGTTAATGCTGTCTATGGCCTTTAATCTTGGTGGTTATTTTGTGTTTTTTATTTCGGAAAAGAAAAGTAAATAAAACTGTTTAGTTACAAATTGTCTCCTAGCTCTTTGAAGAAACTTGTTGAATTTTGCCTTGCATCCTTCACTTTTTAATGCTGCTTGTAAGCATTCAGTTGTGCTGTCATTCATTGAATTTTACTGAAATTTTGCATATTTGCATAGCACATTAGGATTTATGGTTGGGAATGTCACAAGGAAATCCTACAGTTTGCATATGATATTGGAAGGTTGGTGCTTGTCACTTACTGTTAAACTGCACAGCAAAAGAAAAACAAACCTCTTGCCACTTTTCCCCATGGTTTCTAATATTTAATTAGCATGATATTACCCAAGGGACATGAAACTAATTGGTCATGACAGACACAGGGAGGAAAAATGTAGGTAAACAGCAGGATGTCTGTAAGGTTTTCAGTATGCTCTAAAATATGTATAAACACTGTTTTCCTCACTTTCTCACTGCCTTAGTTGTCAACCATCTTACAGAATTCCTCATTACCTATTAGCAAACCCTCAGCTTCCTGAATACAGCTTATTTAATTGATAGATGTGTAAAGTTGGTACTTTTCTAGACAATTTTTGCAAGATATCATGCAAAGAATGCCATGTTAAGAGCTTTGAAAAAAATCACAAAGCAATGCCAATGACATTGAAAGTAAGTACATTCAGTACAGTGTTTGCTTTTCAAGTGCTAATTTATGAAAATGTTACATATCTAATTTACTTTTGGAAGCAAAATTTTATTTCTTTGAACTTAGCATTAGTAAAAGGTAATGGGCTCAAAAGAAAGAGTGGTGATGTCAGGTGTAAAAATGTTTCTCTTTTTTATGATAAAAGCAGTACCATGGGAAGAAGGAGCAAATCAGAAGCATTGCTCCCAGAGTGTTCTGTTTGAAATATTAAGACCAATATTAAGAAGTCTTTGTTTGTGGAGAGTCTCATTTATCTTACCTCTTAGAAACAATGTTTTCCTATTTGTTCTTTAAGACAGAATTTCTGCCAGCAAGTTTTTCTGCACCACAACAGAAAAGTTTCTGTGGCTTCCTACCTGCAAGTAGCCCACCAAAGCCAGAAAATAGCCAGGTGTTGTGTAAGATGGGAGTGGCCAGACTTCAGCCACAACTCCCTGATTTCATTCACTGAAGATCTTCACAGTCCTTTAGTCAGATCAGGCCTCAAAGTGAGCAAAGGTAAGCTAGACAACACTTAAAAATGTGGGTTTGTTATGTTAAGAAGGGTTGCCTAGTGGAAGAGAGTAGTCTGGAAATCCCTTCTGAGCACTGAAAGCATGGTTCTAACAGAGGGAGTAAGGAAAACAGCACAGTGATTTATTGCCCTAATTCTTCAGCAGCTTGCCTACAGATAGCCCTCAAGAACAGCTTATGCCTAGAAGTGTTTGATTTGTAAAATTGGGGGATTTCTTTCTTCCATGTTCAAATAACAAGCACTGATAGAGCAACTGAAGGCATTTGGAAATCCTTCTCTCAGGGTCAGGTCTCTCATCCTCTGGACAAAGAGGTTTAGATAAAGATCTAATGTACTAAATAGGATTAATTTTGGTACGCAAACTCCAGGATGGTGACATATTTCAATTCTTACAGACTTTAATCCTAAAGTCTGGTGAAGAGATTTGCTTTGTCAGATGAAACTACAGTTTTGTCCCTATTCTGTCCCTTTTTTTTAAATCACAGTCTTGCTACTCTTGTCACTGGATAGGCCAACATCAATTTACTCTGGGTTGGATTCCAAAGTAAGTACTATGCAGTGAGATGTCTTTAAGGGGGATGCTTGCCACTCCTGAATCCCCTTAGATTTTTGGTCTATTAAAATGATCTAACAGCATTTGCATGAGTTTACTTCTCCTGCAGGCAAGATTCCCATTGAAATGGATGAGATACTACACACACACACTTGGGGCTTTGAGGTGCTGCCTAATGAATTTCCACGTTATCGCTTGCCTGTGTTCCAAATCTCCCAAAGAAGTCTGCTCTGTGTACTGCATGCAGGATAAGACAGTGTGTTAGCAGTGATAATCCCCATCCTGAAGGCTCTACAATGGGATAATTCATTGTCAGTTAACTTATGCCTTTGCCTTTAGCTAAGAGAACACAACCCATGTCACGGATTCACTTTGCACTAGCAGCCAGAGTAGTGAGACTATTGTATATTTATATATGCAAACTAAATCCCTCACTGCTGCTTACATAAAAACCTTGATTTCTGGTATAAATATGAAAAGCTTTTGGATCAAGGCTGCAGGAGGCTAAGATGGAAATTTGAACATTAGAAGATGCAAGAATGGTTATGCTAATGTATCCCAGCTCTAGAGAAGATCAAACTGAAAAGGTAAAGCTGTGATTCAGGGCGAGCCTAGCATGGGACAACAGACTTGTGATGGCTCCTTTATAGCTGTTCAGCCTCACCAGCTGGTTTGTAAGCAGGCCACATATCTACAACATCTCACTGGGATGTTCTGCAGCAACAAACATTCCCAGGAGGCAGGTCCTGCATCCCACCCCCACAGCATGGGGGCCCAGGTTACAGTGAAAACATGACAGTACATTGCTAGCTCATCTCAAGCCCTTTCCTGTACACTGGTACCTCACAGTCTGTCCTTTGGCCTCCAGAGATGTCCAGTACCACCTCCTGGACATCATATATCTGTTTTGTATATGTTGTGTCTGTATATGTTTTTGTGCAATCTTGAAGGATATTCCAGAGCAACAATGACCTTACCTCAACACAGGAAGGATCTCCAGCCAGTTTCCTTCCAAGTGGCAGCAGATGCTGGAACCAAGCTCTGTGGCAGCCAGGCATTGGCCTGTTTAGGGATGTCAAGATAAAAGTAATATAAATTAACAAATTTGCAAAACCACTCAAAGTCAGAGACTGAGTGACTGGACACAGACATGAGCTCTGTGCCTGCATGGACAGGAGTATTTCAGGTACCATCTGAAGATGCTAAACTGAGAGGGAAATATGTCCTGGAGATACCAGCTCTGATTTTCAGCTTTAAGAAAAGCAGCCTTCACCATTAGACAGAATTGGCAAGCTGGGTGCCATCCCTCTGTATTGCACGGGTCTGAGGCCATGGAGGGCTGCTTCACCCTCCACCCTCACACTTAGCTGAAGTTTTAGATAAGCAGCTAGGTGATGACACTTCATGTGAAGATTTTCATAAGAAATTTTCTTGCCTTTGACATTAAAAAAGAAAAGATTCTTTAGTCCCCACTGGGATTAATATTTTTTTTAATTTATGGCTCTATAATAAGGATTACATGGCACTCCAGGTATTAGTACTGAGTATTCAAATTATCCTCACAGGCTATAAAAAAACCCCTACAATTAGCAGTTTATGAGTATATGATTAAATTTGCATCTTAGTCATTAAATATAAGCTGGTCATTCTGACTACATGATCAGATGTGATTGCCTCCACTACCCAGTATTTTAAATATTAGTTATGCACTACATATTACAAAGAAAGTTCCTTACATATTTCTCTTGGGTCCTTAATTACAGCTACTTGTAAAATTTTGTGGATCCCTGTGCTCTTTGTATCACATTTACATTTTTCAGTTATGGAGTGTGTAGGGTGAGTTTCTAAATAATTGGCAGATCTCATCATGTGTTGAAAATCAGATGATGGTGCCTTTTGTCACAAGGACTCTAAAGACAGGGGGTTTCTGAGGAGTCCCTGGGGA